CTTAAATAGTTTGTTTAAATTTGATCTAATTGGTTTGTTTTGCTTATGTGTTTGATACCAGAGCTCATTTTAGACTTTGTAAATGAGCAAAGACATTTTGTGGCAGGCTGTTTAAATGGCGGTCAGTAACCAGTTGATAAAAAGATAAACTGGTTGGGGAAGTAATATTACTTTACATCAATTCATATAAATGGCATTAGTTTCCTGTGAACTGCTAATGAACTTTATTTTGATATGTAGAATCATTGATGCCAGTGATCAAACCAGAGACCAGAATAAATCATTAAAATTATGGTCTTTCACCATCCAGGATGATAGAAAGATTTGTTTTATTAGAATCTGTTTTTTGACAGGGCACCTTTTAAAACACTTTGCAAATGCTATTTAGCAAAGAGCCAGCATGGTTAGAGGACTTAAGATTCTTGCATTTTTGGCAACCTCTATATTTATATTTATCTAAGCTCTGGGGTGGGGAAGGTCTGTCCAATCAGTTCGTGAGGAATTTGTGGGTAGCTGTAGTATGTAAATCCATTTAGTTTCTGGAGAATAAACTCCTTAACTGGAATGGTCAGACAGAATTTTTCTTTTGCTGATTTGCTCTGTAATGGTAGAGACATGGTTTCAAATGAGGCAGGGTTAAAATTCTGAAAACACTTAAGCTGTGAGACCCAAAAAAGAGTTTGCTAAATACTTTAATTTTGCATTACAAATCAAACTATTTCCTATTGAAAGAGAAAAATAGTCTATTCTTTTGGAAGGGAAAATAAATGTGGATAAGAATTTAGCTTGTTATAGACACATCTGCTTTTAAAAAAGGAGGAAATTATTCAAATGTTTCAAAGGTTATTGCATAATTTTATGGAAAGAATTTGGATTCTACGTGTTTGATATTTCTGCTCTAATTCAGAAAGATATTTTTAAAATTAAACTGACTTGAAAAGTGAACAGAATAATCTACAATTTAAAACTTAGCAGGACTGTTTTAATTATGTATCTGAAAATAACTTGAAAATTGTAAGTTGCCTTAGACAACAGCAAAATGACTTTAATTATAGATGTGTAGTGTCCGTGTGTCTGTCCTTTGTTTTTGGGCATTTCTGAAAGGACAAGTCTAACAAATTGTATTAAGCAAATGTAGTCCTTGTGACTTCGGTGCCAGCTGGACTTTGACAGCAGTGGAAATCTCAGTTAGTTACAGAACAGGCACAGCGTGGTGTGTACGAAGTTCCTCACGTTCTGTCTACCCTCAACCTATCTCTACCCTTACATGAAAGGATAGCTTCCCTTGATACAATAATAATTCACTTTCCGTGCCTGCTCATTTTTGTGAGACTTTCCACAGGAAATCCGCAAATCACTAAAGCCTGTATCACAGTTCAGAGTCTTGTGAGAACTGGAATGAGATATTCTTCATCTAAAGCCACAGCCAGTAGGTAGTAACAGTTTCCGGTACTAGATCCTACAGCTACTTGGGCAAAACTCCCATTGGCCACAATGGGACAAGTTAAGGGCCTTAGTCCCTACTGACCGAGAGAGGTTGCTGAATTAAATTAAGTCATCCAGTCCCCATAAAGTTATTGTAGTGTGTTTTAGTATGAAAAGTGTTCTCTTTAACAGGTTTGAGACTGATGCTTACTAATAGTTTAAAACTTGGCTATGTCTTTAGATGAATAAGTTAAACACAATTTCTCAGGGTGAATTATTAGTTTTTAAATTTCATATTAAGAAGGCTTTAATGGTCATTCTTTGTGTCTCAAAGTGCTCTCTCGTTTTAGAAAGGATACCTAGATATACCATGCTACTGGAACAAATTTTTATGTGATTTAAAATGTATAACCTACAGACATTTGCTATATTGTACTTCATTATATTGTACTAATGAATTTGGAATTTAAAGTTCAATCTAAAGCACAATGTGGATTGCATCAATTGATGTGTTGGCTGAAGGGGGTCCATGCAATTTTAATATTGCTTAGCAGGTTCATGAAAAGAACACTCTTTAACAGTATGAATGTTCTGTGGGAGTTATTGGTATATAAAGTGCAGACATTTAAAAGCTAGTACCAGTGGAATAGAAGGTTAGTGCAGCTTAATGATGTCCTGCTGCTAGATAAATGCCAACGCAAACCAGCAATGTTTATTTTCAAGCCAGGATATATTGATCCTGTGATAATGGTTTTGACTTCATTTGTTCTGTATAACTTGTGTAGATATGATCACTTTGTCCTCATATTTCTGTAACAATCTAATTAGTATTTCCTAATTCAATGGGACCTAAACTTGGCCCTTGGAAGAGGTTAGTATATTTCACCTGAGATGAGTTTATGCATAGTTACAAATAGTGAAACAAAATGCAGGGAATAAGCTGTCTTTTATGTGTGATTTAATTAATCTTATTTAATCATATATAAAATTCAGTTAAAATGAAGAAATGCTAAAATGTAATACTTAAGGGATGCTGTCAAGAGGCTTAGATCCAATATCTTGAAATTGTGTGACAGGAGGGTATGTTTTAATCACACCGGAAATGAATGGAAAGTTTCCATTAACTTTTCATTTCCCAAGAAATTGACCGGTCTAGCTTAATTGTCCAAGTGAAGTGAAATGCAGAAAGTAAAAACAAGCAGTAGAAATGAGCAAATTAGATTTTTAAAATACTTTCACTGTTAATAGTCTGATATATTTTAAAAAAACTCTGGACAGTATCTCTCTAATTTCAGTAAGTCTCTTCCATTGAGTATAATAGGCTAGAACCCATTGCATTTCATATGATGCACATTTGCTCTGTTTGTCTCCTAGCTCTTAATGAGGCATCTTTAAAAAGATGGGGGAAACATTGAACAAAACTAAATTGTCAGTTTCATGAAATGACACAGCTTTGAACTTTTCTGATGAATATATCTGATCTCTATAGCAAGCTGAAAGTGACCTAGTTTAACTTCTTTTGTCAGCTTGGTGCTTCTGAAAGGCCTGACACAACCAAATTAATATGTAAGTACAGCATAGTCAATGATAGTCCAAGTTCTCCCAGTGCTACCTCCCCAACATGCCTATTTTGATCTTTGGCTAGCGCTGAGAGTACTAGCCAGCATGCCAGTTAATATCCGGTGTAAACTGAAACTATTAATTTGAATATTGTCTTATGCTGTGGATATGTCAATGAACTGGACTAAGACCTCTAATTTGACATAACCAGCCGCTAAATGTATTCTAGTAACAACTGGCAGTCACTACTGACTTGGACCAGATTTTAACCAGTGGCCTAGAAGAGCTCTTTTCTTTTTAACTGAGTCATCCAACCCCGCAAGGCAGCTGGCAGCACTGTTTTGCAGTGTTACTTGTTAAATGTTGCTTAAATCATTTTTTTCCAACTGACATGTTAAATGTTGTGTTTTTTATAGAAATAGATGATGGAAACTATTTGGCCACAGCTGTTGCTTACAACTTACCTTGTATCAGGTCTTCTCCCTTGATATTGTGTGGTGACAAAGCTCATTATTTTTTTTTTAATGGGATTAACACTGAAAGACCAAAACGTATCTCCTGCATGGTGCATTGAACAAGCAAGGAAATTAGCACATGCCTGAATTTTCCCCCAGTGAGAAGGAGTTTAGTGTTTGTATCATAGTGCACAGATGGGAGAACTGCTGATAGGCTGGAGAAAGATTGCAATAGCTTCCCAGAAAAAGCAATGCAAAACTACCTGTATGAATCCCTTTTAAAGCAATGATTTTTCAGTCTCCACCCTTCTCTCCACGTACCTTGTGCTTCACATCTTACTGCATTCATTCAAATCAATACACAGGAAACTACCACTGAAGGGAATTCTACAGTAAACTAAAATGTATGTAGTGGAATTACATTAAACTACAGTGTATTTTGGCTTAATTACTATAGATTAAGCAACTCTGTAAAAAATGGAACTATAAATTGGTACTTAAAGGCAGTTTGTTTAACTTCTTCCTAGATTTAGCTATGATGATTAATTCTGGGGTGTGTCGAAATGCCATATGGTAATAGGTATGAGACTTGGCAAAAAGCACTAATCTGCATATACAAGTGCAATATATTAGAGATACCAGAAATACAAGTAGGAAGCTTGTGAAGCTTGTGGAAGAATACTGCTTTACTTTGAGGTCTTCTGAGCCTGAATTAATGCCATATCCCTGGAAGCTTGATTTAACTTGCTTTTGTATGAAGTGTATGAATATCACCTCTGAAGTAAGCAACCCCCAAACAATCTGGCCTGTAATTTAGGATTTTCAACGTCTGTGAACACATCAAATGGCTGCTACTGCAGAGCTCTAGGGACTAAATACTGAAATATTAATTACCATTTTTTGCATCTGCCTTTGCAGTGAGGAGAACAACACATGAGAATTCTTGTGCTTTATTTGATTATAAATGCCCAGGTTCTTCCCTCTCCTAAATTCTTCAGCTTTTATAAACATTAACAGTTTGAACTTACAAATGTTTTCAGCAGACTCTGATAGTAAAATAACACTCTTCAATAAGAGAATTTTATAGGCAGTATTATTCCAAACCACTAGCTTCCATAAACTTGAGGTTGTTCTATTTCATTGCCATGAGCACATTGCTTATATGTATCAGGTAGCCACTCCAAGACAAGTACCATCTCCACTTCATAAGTAGTGACCAGGTTGTACTATTATAAAATGTGAGGCTTCAGTCTAGTGTCGCCCAGGTATCAACACGCAAGTATTTTTACTGTGGCTGCACAATGGTGGGGGGAAGGGTGAGAGCAGTCATATCTAACAGTTTAAAAAAATATATTGGAGAGTTATTTCTTTCCAGAGTGGTAATTTTAACTTCTCCTATTAGTTCATGTCCAAGTACATTCTGCTATTGTAAAAATACGACTTTTTAAACATCTAACTATCTCTACATTCTCCTTTGCAAAGTGTCACTTAAGTTGATCAGAGGCTGCAGTTAGTTGTGGTGTCAGAGCCCTCTGCAGGTTAAAACATTGACAGTCCATATTAAAATATGCCTGAGTTTATTTTCAGGTAGATATCCTATTAACTCTAAATTCCCTGTTGGTTGATGTAGCCCAGAGTTCCATTTCTGTTTTTTTAATAAATACATTAATAAAAAATATTATGCTTTGATGGATTTCTCAGATAAGGACTGAAGCAAGTCCTTATAAATAGCAGAGTTCATAAACCGTGGGTAGGAGTCTCTATGCATTAAGGTGTAAATCTGAAGCTGTGCATCATCAAAAGTATGTTGTGATGGTTCCAGCATATTTCGGTTGATAACTTCCCTTACTCTGGAGTCCAGGCTGACCTGTGCATTAAAAAAAGCATTTGTTGACATTGGTAATAGCGCACATACTTTTCCAGCTCTACCCACTTAAAGCTCCCCCCCCCACCTCCCATTTCAATCTTCACCCCTGAAAAAGTGTAAAGGGTCTCAGATATACATAGAGAGAATTATCACGCCCAACTTCGGATGCAATTATCTCCTCAAGTAGTGGAATCCTCTCAAAGACCGCCTTATTTTAAACAATGCTGTCTGGAATCCTATTTGTGCTAAATTCTGACAATACAGCTGGAATTTTTGCTCTTTCTGCTTAATAGTGCAGTGAATTTTTAATTTTGTGTGACTCGCTTTTGTTTCCTTGGGAATAAGTGTTGTCTGAGGCTGAATTCATAGCAGCAGAATTAACCAGAAAGAAGCTGCAGCCGGTAGAAATGTTATTTAAGCAAATCTTTTTACTAAAGAGCAGGCAGAATTAGACATAAATTGCAAATAGTTATATCATGGTTCCATGAGAGCGATATTGTGAAAATTTAAATTTCAGTGAGGTGGCAGTCTCAAAGATATTGTGTTAACAGCTACTAGATTTCAGTAGTGCTTGTATCTGTATATAAGTAGTGCTTTTTCCACCACTCTGGCTAATAAGCTTTTGACTGATATTTGAGTTTATAGTTCTTCAGAACGAGAAACCAACTAAACAAACTCAACCTTGTTGTAGTGTAATGTTCAGTGTATAAAATATTTGCCAATATCAGACTGGTAGATAGCTTTGTATATCTGCTAATTTTAAGATAAACTTTTATTTATGGTTAACTTTTGCTGTATAGCAGGAGTTTTCAAAACAGATTATATTTGAGCAATTCTTTTAAATTTTATAGCAAATTACAGTTAAAGGTTTTAAACATGTTAAGATCTCCCATTTCATTTTTAACTGCTAAGAAAAAAACCTAGCTTGTTTGGTTATTTAAGCGAGGACAATGCTCTTTGCCCTGTTATGCCTAGAAATTACAGGTGTCTAAAATCAGTGCTTTATAGTACCACATCTGCTGCTTTGTCTGTTAACTGGGAAGATGGAGGATAGTTTCAACCATGGCACCCTTATGCCTTCACTTTCTAAGTCTCCATTATTAGTAGGCTTGGAAGGATTAGATTTTTATCAGTAAATGTAGGTAAGCATCAATTTCACTGTTTACACAAACCAAAATTTCCATCTGATCAAAATTTACAGATAGGCAAAGTGAGAAAAATGCTGCTTGAGAACTTAGTTGGATTTAAGGAAATGTACTTTGTATATTTTGATATGCATCTTGACATTGTGTGTTTTAATAATTATAAACATTAGCTTTTTGAACCCCAGGGTCTGCTGTCATTAAATAATTGTCTGACCCTGACATAAGTTCCTGCAAATGTGAAAATGTAAATGGATAAAGATTGAAAAATGCTTAAAACCCATAATATTGCAGAAGTGTGAAAATGTAAATAAAAATTAAGCTTAAAATAGATATTATCTCAGTTATAAACAAACAAGAATCAAATTCTGCCAAGCCTAATTATTAGCAATGAACGTCATAAGACCTGTATCCCTTGGTTTAGCTGTCTTTGCCTTTATTCATGTTACAACCACCACTGTGCAATGCAGAATTAAAGAATGACCTGTGGAGGGACACACACCTCTTTTGGAGAAAGGATAGAAATATAATCTTCATAGATTAACCTTGCTTTTTCTTCTATGACACTCTTGTTGGATTCCTGCTTTAACTCCTCACAGGCCATCCAGAAAAGCATGTTCTCTTCACTGAATTCTGTTCGGAGGAACTCCCGGAAAGCATTTCTGCCCGCTGGAGTGATCATTAACTTGTCAAATGACTGAGCCCAGGCATTTACTTCTTCAAGAGTAGGAGTGGGACTTGAATGAGAGAATAGAAAAGGAGGTATTGATGCTAGTTACTCAAAATTCAGTCACTAAACAAGGCATTTGCTCTCACTGAAAGAAAAAAGTGAGCTTTACATGAGTCTAATGCATGGTAGTTTGGACTGTTAACTGATACTCAATACTCTCACCCTGCTGTGAAGCTCTAGTAAACTTAAGGATCAGAGGATTGTGGCAGATAAAATGTGATCAAATGTTCCGATGACGTACACTAGCTTTATTTTAAAGCAATACCTGAAGTTAATGTACAACAAAAAAACTTTATGCAACCCCTGAACATGTTTTCTAGGCTTCAGATGCACAGTTGTCTTTTTGGTTAGTCAGTGTCGCCATTACGGTATAAATATGTGTACAGTGAAGGCCAAGATATTAATATGTTTATAGCTGTTACCGCAAAAGCTATACTCCTATCTTGGTTTGTATAGGCCCCCATCATAGCATCTGAGCACCCAGGAAAGGATAGCAAAAGTTAATTAGTTGCCTGACTAATGATAGGATCTATGTTCTCCCTTGTTTATTATTCCTTATTGAAAGCTGGGCACTACCAGTTGGATTGGTTAAGTTTTTCACAAAAGTTATGAAAATGAGGGAGGAAAAAATTAGACTTGTAGGAGAAAGTAAAGACGGAATCTCCCAATGTTGCTATTGTACCACCGTACAGTGTAAGCTATCCCAATATAGAATTTTTTTTAAGTATGGGCTTTGGATCAGGCTATGAATTAATGAAAGGTTCGAGTGGGAATGTTAGTAACATTCAGCTAGAGATGGCTGAGAATTGAATTTAAATAGATGGTGCATGGATGGCAGCAGGGGAGTAATTTGTGCATTTCAAACCATTTGCCTTGCAGATTTAGCTGTTTTATATATATATATATAAATGCTCAAAGAAAGAAAGGATACCTCTCCTCACAGTTTGGAATACTCTCTGCTCTGAGTTCATGGGATGTCCTCCTTGCTCTCTCTTCATCTTGATTCCTAACAGTAAGACTGCAAGGTAGCAAACAGATAACTCAGTCAAGTTTATATAAGGAAGAGCTTGAAACTACATCAAATTGTTGATATTTAATATTTTACACACATTTGGTTTACCTTACCTAAAAGGGATAGAAATTACCTGTACCCTTTTATTTCATGATTCTCCTCGTGCACTAGTTTTACATCAGTGTAAATCCAGCAACCTTAACAAAGCTACTCCAGTTGCCAGGAGAATTTGGTTATCCAGTGTAGTTTCTCAGTGCAATCTAGAGGGAGTTTGGTATGTGCTTCAAAATGTATGGTGCAATCCAGAAAACACTAGCATTCTGGACTAGCTCTCTGAGTGGGGCTACTTATGGTAATAAGTACTATGCTTAATAGTATATATCTTGACATAGTGTGGCCAGCATTGTAACTGGGACTGTTCATGGTAATAAGCATTAAACTCAGTATTTGCAGGATTAATATGAGGCTTACATACATGCCAAAGTCTCCCTACCGAGGCTCATTGAAAGCTCTCTCAGCACTCTTCAATGGAAGCAGGTGTCAAGTCCTCTTCCTGGTCAAATTCCAGTGTATTAGTAGTAATTTTCTAGCTCACTTAAATTCCCCAGCGCTTTCAGTTAGAGAACCTATCCTTGTTTCTAGACCTAAAACTTCCAAAGCTTGTGTATTTTCCTTTCACAGAGTGGGTGCTATATTCTGTCTTATAGGGGAGGGGAATAAACTGATCTTATTCTCCCTCTCCCTCTGTAAAGCACTTTTGAATTTGTCAGGAGAAAAAGGCACCAAGTAAATTATAAGGCACTATCCATAGTGTAACTGGGTTTCCAAGCTCTTACCACACTTGACAACCCCGGGAGCTTGATAGAATTTCTGGGGAATAATTTGAAATCAATTTCTTGGTTTATCTTTAGCATTATTACATGAAAGAAAGGTATGGTTATCACTTAGGTTTACCTATTTCATTTGCTCACCTGCTTTTAAACTTATGGCTTATATCTTATCTCCAACTTCGCTACCTGAATTAGTTCTAACCTTTTCCTTCCTCAAGCATTTGTCTATAGTCTGCGGAGACCTCCACACAGGTCTGTAGAATTTAAAAATGTTAAGGTCCAAGCAGTGCAGTTGAAGATTGGGAAGGAGGAGAGATGCGTTGTCTCCTACAAAGTAGTCCACACAGTGGAAAGGTGGAGAACCTTTGCTGGAACTAAGTTGAGTACGGGGGTCACACTACTCACTGCAGCTCATTTTATGTAATGCCTTCAAATCACTGAGCTATCTTAATTCCCTTTCTCTGTAAAGGGAGAAGTAGCATAATTGTAAAAGAACTCTAATATCACCTTATCCCCTGGGTCTCATGATTTAAAGGGGGGAGGGAGGGAAGGACCTAATAGTGACCATTGATCCTGGTTTGTTTGTTTTTAAAGTTGTGTTTTCCATAAACAGCAAGAATATGCTTCTGCATGACATATTTTAGACTGAAGGAGACAAAAGAACAAATGTCTCCATAGGATAGCATTCTGCCTCCTTTGGAATACGCAATATTTACTGTGCCTTACAAACTGGTAGCTACTCCTGCAGAGAAGAAGACTCCCTAAAAATGTAAAAGTGCAGAGCAGAGAGAACAAACTATTTACATAGCTACATCTATCTCGGGCTCCAAAAGGATAACAAGTATGTGACTTAAGTTGTAACTGCAGCACAGACTTTGGGCATCCAGGCATTGGGACTCATTTCCTAGTCCCATAATGGTTCATTCTAATTCTAGTATTGAAAGGGCTGTGAATAGTGAAGTCTCTGCTTCTCAGCCACATGACTCATGTGGACTGTTATTTTTGTTTCTATTCATAATTTTTCAGTGGAAAGCACTTGAGCTATTTTGAGGAAAGACATTCTGTGAATAGGGATTATAAATAGAACATTTAATTGCAGTTTGTTTCGCATTCCTTGCTACTATAAAACAGTTGTTCTCAGAAAATTACAAGTGATTTTAAGGCAGAGAAAAGCTGCTTTGTTTGTAGCCTGCACCCAGTTCCCAGGCTATTCTTAAATGGCAACAGGAATTTTAAGCGCCATCAAAATTGAGTAATTTCAACACCCCATTGAGTAAATAGCTTGCTTTGTACCATTTCAACATTTATGCTGCCTTTTCTGTGCCTGACAGAGAGTATAAGATAAAAGAGCGGAGGAGTAGTTATCAACAATTCAAAGGAAATAGTGGAAAGTGAAGTTTATATTAATCTATTAAGTCAGTGTACATGAAGTGCTTTTATTTCCTTTTCTTGGGCAATCCATAGATATGGGTGTATCTTATACGTATACACCTATGGGCTAAAACCATCCTTGACTCTTTGATCTTACCAGTGTTACACAGTTGTCAATACACTGGAACTTGGAGGCTCAGTTACTCACTGGGGTGTGGAAATTATTTGGTTGGTGGTGTTTTCTTAGGACCAGATCTAAATGTCTTTCAATCAGTCCTTTCTTGTGAAATTGTCTACACTGGCAAGTTACTGCGCAGTCAAGCAGCTTTCTGCGGTGTAACTCCTGAGGTGTACACACTGCCAAGCCACTTTGTGCGCAGAAACTCCTCAGCTGCAGCATTCCAAAAAACCCACCTCGACAAGAGTCGTGAGCCTTACAGTGCAGAGGCTCCAGCGCTGCATTGGCAGGGTAAACAAATTACAGCACAGAAAGCAATCAGTTAGCCTCCCGAAGTGTCCCATAATCCCTCAAGTGGCTGCTCTGCTCATTGTTGTGAACTCGGCTGGCTGCCCTGAAGGCATGTACCCCTCCCCTTTCAAAGCTCTGTTTCTGACAGCCCTTGTGTGCTGTGCTGATCTGCTCCGGGACAGAAAGCAAACCATTAATTGAACGTGGGGTGGGGTGGGGGTGGTGTGTGTGTGTGTGTGTGTGTGTGTGTGAGAGAGAGAGAGATTGATTGCTGGGCAGAGAGCTGGGGAGGGAGGCAGGGCTGACTCCAGCCACCAGCCCAGCAAGCAGGTGCTTGGGGCGGCCAATGGAGAGGGGCGGCACGTTCGGCTCTTTGGCGGCAATTCGGCAGCGGGTCCCTCACTCCCTCTTGGAGCAAAGGACCCTGGAGCCAGCCCTGGGCAGGGACTGATGTTGGGGTTTCCCCCACCCCCTGTCTCAGGACTGGTTGCTTCCTGTTGCTGTCTGTCTTACAAGACAGCATTCTGACATACTCTGTCCCCTAAAACACACTGTCTCTCTTCCCCCCACCATACACACACTCTCCTGTCACACATTCTGCCCCCTGCCCTTCAGTTGAAAAGCAGCTGGCAATGTAGTAGGATGCCCATGGAATAATGGGATTGGGAAACCTGCATTATGTGATGCTGTGCTTGCCCCATGAGGCATTGCAAACCCTTTCCAAAGCACCCTGCGGCCAGTTGCACAGTGGGATAGCTACCACAATGCACTGCTCTCTTTGCCATTGCAAGAACTGCTAATGTGGATGTGCTCCACCATCTCAAGGAGCACAGTGTGGACATGCAACAGCGGTTTAATTCCAGCGCTTTAATAAAAGTGGTATAACTTGTTGCATAGAAACTTGCCAGTGTAGACATACCCAAAATGTGTTCCTTTTGCTGTCATTTATTATACTATGCTATGCAGGACCATGCACAATGGAACCCCAGCCTGGTTGGCCTCTAGGCACTACCACAGTGTAAACGTTTAAAAAACATTCAATATAAAAAGTGTTAAAATATTTCCATATTATCTGATAACTATTGACATAATTGCGGGACTTCTTTTTGTTGATTGCAGGGTGATTAATTTGATAGCCAGTATGCTTATGTTCTGAAGTCAGGTGCTGTGCAAGCACAAAAAATGATTTTTATAGGATATTTTCTCAGTCTGACATATAAAATGTTAACAGCACAATTCCCATTTATAATAATTGGAGTTGCTCAGTTACTGCTTTATACATGCACCAAAGTTCTTTTGTAGGTTGAGGTAAACTGGGGCAACAGAGAATTACTTCTTACAGTAGATGCAACCATGTATTCCACTTAGGGGTGTGTGTGTGTGTGTGTGTGTGTCCAGAACACCGGAGCCAGAGCATTTTGTCTAGCAGTACCTGTAGTGAAGCGATGCTTGCGCCTCGTGGCTATAGCCCCTTCTCTGGCTATATGAGGTGGCACTGCCTTGACCCCCCCTCAGTTCCTTCTTACTGCCCAGGGCTGGAGTCAGAGTTCTGTGTGGTTTTCACCTCACAATCCCTTTATTTTTAGTGACTTTTCTAGTTGTATATAGTTAATTAGTACCCTTAAGGCAATGTTAATTAGATTTAGTGTTAGTTAGCTGTAGTTTAAATATTTCCCTTGTGATGCCCTCACCAGGGTTTAAACATTCTGTCATGTGCGGGAGCGATCGCCAATAATGATCCCCCGACATGGTGCTTGTTGTGCCTAGGTGAAGCCCACATCAAGGAGTGGTGGTCGATTTGCAGATTATTCACCAAATGGACTTGGGTGGTGAGGGATCTTTGTCTGAAGCAGCAGTTGCTTGAACAGACCATGCGGCCTCCTTTGGCACTCAGGCCCATGTCAAATTGGAGGTCACCCTTGAGTTCTGAGAGCTACCATTTTGTGTCCTGGATCTGGCAACTCGTCCGAAAAGATGGAGTTGTTCCCTGTCAAGTGCTCTGAGGAAAAGGTTTCATAGGACCGACTGAAGCCACTTCAGGTCACATGGGGACTTATCTCCCTCCTCCAGAAGGAGCACAGATCAGCATGGGTCGAATGCTGGTGCATGGGACAGAGCAGTCCTATCAACCGCTCCCCAACTGCTCTGTGCAAGGAGGTCAAAGACACCATATTGTTGACTCTGGTTCCAGCCCTGGGGCATCCACTGAGTCCAGGACCAACAAGGGCAATGCCGGCACTGAGTGTTTCTGCATCAGCGGCATAGCAGCCAGCAACAGACCTCTACCTTTCTGTCCTAACCTTGCCCTTAGTCCAGGACTTTGCCAAGGCTGCATC